CAACCTCCACCTCCCAGGTTCAAGCAATTCTCCTGCCTCAGCGTCCCAACTAGCTGGGATTATAGGTACATGCCACCACACCCAGCTAATTTTTTGTATTTTTAGTAGAAATGGTGTTTCACTATGTTGGCAAGGCTGGTCTCCTGACCTCAGGTGATCCACCTACCTCAGCCTCCCAAAGTGCTGGGATTACAGGTGTGAGCCACCACGCCTGACCCATTATGACTTTTTACTAAATTTTACAGATCTATCATTTTTCATGTAACATTTAAGGCACACATGGATTTCCAGAACCCTTGTAGAGATCTACAGCCCAATCCATTTCTCCAGGCACTCATCTCCTCTTACCACGAGTCTCCCACATTTTAGCTTGGACAATTCCTTTATAGAAAATATAAAATAACTCATTAAACTGGATTATCTTCAAAATCACTTTTGAGATTATAAGATCCTGGGACAATAAGTACTTCCAAAAAGAATTTTGAGACTTCTAAAGAAATGACAGCTTGACCAATATTTAGGTCCTGTACCTCCTAACACTATTTTCATACAACTGTGAAGAAATTTAAAAGACATAACCCCATAAGGAGGAGACAACAATGGAGAACAAGCGGCAACAGGTTTCTGTATAATGGAAAGCAACACTTGACTTCCAGAGTGAGATGGCAGATTGAACACGCACACATCTAATTTTGCTTCCTCCCAAAACTTAACTAAAACAAGGATAAAGAAAGTTTTGTTACTATTGTTTACTCTGTTTTTAGGACACAAGCCATAAGGACAGGGAGAATGAGACAATAGCAACAAAATTTTGGAAGCTGGAAAGAAGCTGGATAACTGACCTAGTTAAAGATGGCCAAATTCTAAGCCAACAACGCTGACAACTGAGAACAAATCAGTTTACACCACAGAATCCTCAAAAGGTTCAGGAGCTGCCAGAACAAAGAGGGGAAGGGAGACTAAAAGGATCGGGTGAAAGCTGAAAAGTTAGAAACCTAGATTTCCTCCAAGCTGCTGAGTGCCACCCACAATGTAGCAGATGATGGTAGATTTCTTATCTCAAGAGGGTAAACCATACAAGGTGGAAGACATAGGTATCCTAACAAACAGAGACAGATTATGTGAGCCTATATACTAAATGCTCTATGGCTCTTTACCCAACCCTCTTTTCCTGAGTTCCCAGATACTGGCAACTAGATCTCAGCTCACCAAGCAGAAAACTGGAAAATACTCTTTGGAAAATATGACTAGGACAAAAGGAAAGATAAATACACTAGAGATAGCCTCAAACAATCCACCCAGACCAATAGTTTCAATGTTAGCCACAAACTGGAATTATCTGGGCAGCTTTAAAAAATACTGGTGCTAATCTACAGAGATAGAAATCAGAACAGTGGTCACCTCTGAGCCGGGAGTGAGACAGCTGAAGGGATATAAAGACATTTGGGCCGGGCGCAGTGGCTCACGTCTGCAATCCCAGCACTTAGGGAGGCCGGGGCGGGTGGATCACAAGGTCAGATGTTTGAGACCCAGCCTAACCAACATGGTGAAACCCTGTCTCTATTTAAAATAAATAAATAAATAAATATTCCAGAATTTTTGCCATCCTTTACATCTTGTGTCAGTTACATGGTAAAAATGAAACTACACACTTAAATTCTGTGCATTTTATTATATGTAGCCACACCTAATTTTTTTAACTATTGCTACTGGGGGCCTATTCTCAGACATTCTGAGGTATTAGCAGCAGGGATTTTTTTTTTCCAAAGCTCTCCATGTGATTCTAATGTACAGCCGAAGCTGAGAACCACGGCTTTAGACTCTAGAATACTAGGTAAAAGTATCTGTCCTCAAGCCCTACTTACAACCTCAGGGCTTCCCATCAGCTTTCAGTAGCCCACTCTTAATCATGAACAAACAACCAAGGATAATCAGTCCTCCAAGGAGGGCCTCTACTAATAAGACTACACCAAACAGGAAAAAAGTAACTTGGAGAAAACTACGCAAGGAAAGGAAGGTTTAGGCTGGGCACAGTGGCTCACACCTGTAATCCTAGCACTTTCGGGGGTCGGGACAGGCGGATCACCTGAGGTCAGTTCAAGAACAGACTGGCCAACATGGTGAAACCCAGTACCTACTAAAATACAATAATCAGCCAGGCATGGTGGCAGGTGCCTGTAATCCCACCTACTCGGGAGACTCAGATGGGAAAATCACTTGAACCTGGGGACGGTGGTTGTGGTGAACCGAGATCACACCACTGCACTCCAGCCTGGGCAGCTGAGCAAGACTCCATCTCAAAACAATAAAAATAAAAGAAGATTTTAAAAAATTATTTTTAACATTCTCAGAAATATAAGAGCAGATAAGAGCAATAAAAATAAAAGATTATAAAAAACTATTTTTAACATTCTCGGAAATATAAAAGCAAATATAAGCCATATCTGCTCTTATATTTTATCTCTCCATAAAACAGGAAGAGATGGAGGAATAAGTGACTGAGTAGAGGAAGCTGAACCTACAGGCCTGCAGAAAGGAATACAAGCAAGAAACAAGCTGAGGGAGTCTCTCTGAGCCTATTCTGGCTCAGGAAGCTGCCCGATAAAGTGATACAATTTTTTTAATTTAAAAAAAGAAAAAGCAGCAAGCTGATTTGGTTAACTCACAGAACCCCAGAAAGGCTCAAGATCTAGGTGCCTAGGAGTTCCCAAGTATAGAGTCAGTGGTGGAGACGGAAGGGGCTAAATAGTAAGTCGTTTAAAGTCTATATAAGGTACAGTTGGACTCCAGGCTCCCTCCTCCACCACCATTCCTATCTCATAAATGTATTTTCTAGAAACACTAACCTGGTGATACGTTTTGGCTCTGTGATACCACCCAAATCTCACCTTAAATTGCAATAATCCCCACATGTCAAGGGCAGGACCAGGTGGAGAAAACAGAATCACAAGGACGATTTCCCCCACGTTATTGTGATAGTGAATTCTCACAAGATCTGATGGTGCGGGACTTCCCCCCTTTTTTGGGCACTCTTTCTCTCTCCTGTTTCCCTGTGAACAAGTGTCTTCCACAATGATTGTAAGGTTCCTGAGGCCTCTCCAGCCAAATGGAGCTGTTAAGACAATTAAACCTCTTTTCTGTATAAATTACCCAGTCTTGGGTATTCTTCATAGCAGCATGAGAATAGACTAATACACATGAAGAGACTCCAGACTCAAAAAAAGTAAAGTGAGGCTCAAGGCTAAAAGCCAAGGGATTAAACAGAAGTGGCTGGGCATGGTGGCTCACATGTGTAATCCCAGCACTTTGGAAGGCCGAGGAAGGCAGATCACAAGGTCAAGAGATTGAAACCATCCTGGCCAGCATGGTGAAACCCCATCTCTACAAAAATTAGCTGGATGTGGTAGCATGCACCTATAGTCCCAGCTACTGGGGAGGCTGAGACAGAAGAATTGCTCGAATCCAAAAAGCAGAGGTTGCAATGAGCTGAGATCGCACCACTGTACTCCAGCCTGTCGACAGAGCAAGACTCCGTCTCAAACAAACAAACAAACAAAACCAGAAGTGTGTTTGGTGAAAAGCAGCCCCTTCCCACAGCCCACTTCCTTTGCCCACCTTTCAGAACACTGGAAGCCAAGCACAGACCCTGTCCCCCTCCCCTAGATTTGATCACCAAGAGAAATTCTTAAAAGACCTAGATAGATATGGCATGTTATTACATCTCTCTATCCAGGTCTTTTAGGAATTTCTCTTGGTAATGTTCTCTTGGTAATTTCAAGAATTTCAATTTTGATATAAAACTGAAAGACTCAGTATTAAAACATCAGTTCTCCCCAAATTTATATATACATTCAATTCCAATTCCAAAATTTGTGGAAAATGACAAGCAGATTCTGAAACTTATATGAAAATGCTAAGAGCCAACAGCCCAGAAAACTTTAAGAAACAAAGTTGAGGAGCTTATATTACCATATATCAAGGCTTATTATAAAGTTACATCAATACAGTGATATTAACACAAGGATAGCCAGTGCATAATAAAACAGAACAATCCTGAAACAGACCCACACTAATTTCATAAATTAGCTGACCTTACTGTCACCTAATTTATGAAAAAAAAGTGCCACACCATGCCTGGACTACTTGCACATTTATAATTGTGAACTTTTTCTCTATACTTCAATAACTTTTCTAAGATTTCTTTGACACAAACTCTCTGGAAATCTTAAAGCTAGCATTTAGAACATAAAAAAATAGTTTCTGGGACGGGCGTGGTGGTTCACGCCTGTAATCCCAGCACTTTGGGAGGCTGAGGCAGGTAGATCACTTAAGGTCAAGAGTTCGAGACCAGCCTGACCAACATGGTGAAACCCTGTCTCTACCAAAAACGCCAAAAAAAAAAAAAATTAGCCGGGCATGGTGGTGTATGTCTGTAATCCCAGCTACTCAGGAGGCTGAGGCAGGAGAATCGCTTGAACCCAGGAGGCGGAGATTGCAGTGAGCCAAGATCGCGCCACTGCTCTCCAGCCTGGGTGATAGAGTGAGATTCTGTCTCAAAAGAGAGAAAAGAAAAGAAAGAGAAAAAAAAAGAAAAAAGGGCTTCTGGTACACTGGTGAAATTTTACTGACAAAATTTTAAAACAAAAAAAAAAAGTTACTAACACATACCAGCTCAGAACAAAGATTAAAAACTACCAGCAGATCAATTTTCTTTAACTTCAGGAAGCACTGGGATTCATTCTTTAGGCAAAGAAAGGAGTTTATTATTCAACACTGTAACCCAAAGAAAAGATACCACTTCAACAAAGTACTTCTTTCCGGAAGCAGCTCTATCAGCAACAGATGGGAGGGAGGAAAGCGAGGAAACCATTCCAAAAGTCTTGGCTAACTCTTGGATGAAAGGATGGCAAATGAGATCACATAAGAAGCCCCAAAGACAGACACAGGTAAATCACAGCAACTCTTTGGAGTACAAACACCAACACCACAATCCAACCTACCGGAAATCCTGCGGTTAAGGCTTGCCCCACTAGTCATAAGGTGATTCAGTGATGGCTACAAACGCTCCTCGAGTGCATCCTGGACCTGGCTCACCCGCCTTGCCCATCACCAGCCTGGAGACACGCTATGCGCAGAACCCAGGAGGCCAAGTAAAGACGCCAACTTTGCAAGTAAGGGGCGCGAGGCTCTCGCCCCTCAGGTCCGCTGAGGGAACCGACTTCTGGCCTCGAGAGTGGGGTACCGGGTCAGTGTCCTCCACAGGATTTACGAGGACGTGCCCCCGAAGCTGCTCCGCCCCTCCACCTCCCTGGGACACACTGTTAGACCCGCCGGCGAGTTTCTTCCCCAGCGCCCACGAGAAGGAGGGCTGCGGGCGGCGGCGGCAGGCGAGGAAGCGAGCGCAAGGAACTTAGGCCCTGCCGGGGCCGGGCGCACCCGCCCCGCTCGCTCAGCAAAACTTGCGACTGCCGCCGCCCGCCGCGCCTCGGCCCAGCTGTGCGCCAGCGGAACCCGGACTCACCGCCCGCCCGGCTTCCCGGCCTGCCCGGCCTGGCGCGGCGCCCCTCACCTTGGAAACGTTGGTTGGACTTTGCTGTAAACATTAATTTCCCATCCAGCCGGCAGCCGTGCCGCCGCTTCTCAGCGCCTCGGCCCCGCTCCTGGCTCCACGGGTCGCCAGTCCAGCATTCCCAAAAGCACAGTGCTCACTCAGAAGCTCAGGGCTGCCTCGCGACCCTCAACTACCCCTCCTGGCACTGCCGTTGTCGGAAACGCTGCCAGCCCGTAAGCCTGCCGGCCCGCTGGCTTTTCCAGAGTCCGGCCCCGCCGCGTCAGGAGAGCCCAAGGCGCAGGCGCAGCAGGGTCTTAAAGAGACCCGGCCGCCTCCACTGCAGAATTGGTTCGAGCAGGTTAGGGGCCGGGCGGGCCCGCTGAGAAAAGGAGAAGCCGAAGGGATTGGACAGAGTGCAGTGGGGGCGGGGAAATCCGTCTCTCCCCTCCGCCTCTCTTTCAAAGCGCCAGCCCTCAGCCCTGCAAATCGTCAACTTCCCCTGCCACTTGAACCGCCCCTTGCATATCAAAGCGACGGAAGACACACCCCCTGGAGGGGTCCCGAAGCGACCCCGCGCCTTGGACTGCGGATCTCGCGCTGCCACACCGCCCCCGAGCCTGACTTCCAGGCCCCGGGCACGCGGTGCAGACGCGCAGGCTTCGGAAGGCAGCCCCGAGTTCCCCCGGGAGGTGACCTTAGGGCACTCTCAAAAACAATAATCAACGTGTAAATGCCACTTGTAATGTACTCTTCCACGTCTCTACGCACTAGGTTTATGCAGACTCCTGCAGGGGGCAGAACATGGGCACAAATATGTAAGAGTCAGCCGGGCATCCCTCCAGTATCAACGAAGAAATTCTTAGAAGGAAAGTAAACAGCCTATTAATTCTGATCTAGGAAAAGCAGGCAAGAACAATTAAAAAGGCAATACAGGTTACTTTCACTATATGTTTATAAGTGACAAAAATTATAATTATCAGCACAAGAAACTCCAAAATTCTTTGTCTAGAAATTAGATATCCCTAGTTAGTTATTTTCTAATTTGAATTTATAAGACAGAATTCACAGATGGGATTCCACGGAACTAAGCATTTCAGAAAAAAAAAAAAAAAAAAAAAAAAAAAAAAAAAAAATTTAAAAAAAAAAAAAAAAAAAAAAAAAAAAAAAAAAAACTGTTTTTTTCAACAAGATTAGGAAATACCAAGAAATAGGAAGTAAAGCCATGCCCTCCACCCAGCTAAAACCTTTGAAAACATGAAATTTTATCTGAGGCAAATGTTTACATAACTTTAGGTCGTGCCATTATTTAAAGTCACTTTAACAATTTTATTGCAACCGAATTCATCTTGTATAAGAAAACTAAGACACATCCTTAATAATGTACTTCTCTCGTCTTAATATTACATCTGTCAGCAAATTCTATTGGTTTTTACCTTACAAATTGTCCTTGAATCTGTCCTCTTCCATCTCCTCCATCACCACCCTAGTCTAGGCTACCTTCACCTGGGGCCTGGGGGTGAAGGGATTACTGACCTAGTCTTCTTGTAGTTTACCCATATCCCCTTTACCACCTCTATAATCTCAACACAACAGGCAGAGTGACTTTTTCAAAATACAGTGTAACCCTGTCACTTCCCAGCCTAAACCACTTAAACACCTTCTCATTCCCTTAGACAAAACTCCTAACTAACCAAGCCCTGAATGACCAGGTGCCTTGCTCACCTCTCCACCACTTCTCACTGCTGAGACCATTTCCACACTGCTCTCTGTGCTCCAGCCACACTGGCCTCTTTTATTCCCTATTTACCAGTTTCCTGGCCTCAACAGAGCTTTTGCTCATGCTTTGTTCTGTGCCCAGAAAGTTCTTTCAGTCCTCATCCTTCTGACAACAGCTCTAGTATCCACCTCTGAGAAGCACTTTCTGACCTCCCTACGGTGCTCTCTTACACCTGTCACATCGCATGAAACTGTAATTGGGTGGTTATAATGGTGAACTTTTTACTATTGGCTGCATAAGTCCAGGATTTGATTTTGTTTGGTTCATAGTTGTATTTCCACATTTGTTACATACATATTTGTTCAGTAAATGAAAATTATAGATGCTAGAACTTGAACTAAATTTGGCATAAAGTCAGGGAAAGGTAAAATGTAACAGTCTGACATTTGGAATCAGAATCTAAAAACTTCAGTTATATTAAAACTGATTTTATATCATTTTAGCTGGGTTGTCACAAGATTCTTTGGGTAACCTTTAAAACAGTTCTCAAAGAGCCTTGTATAGACACCTGAATTAATAATGATAAGACATGGATGGCCCACATAAAACTAATAACATTGGTTGCTTCAAGGGAGGAAGACTGAGCCAGGCAGAGTGGCTCATGCCTATAATCCAAGCACTTTGGAAGCCTTAGGCTGGCGGATCATTTAAGATCAGAAGTTCAAGACTAGCCTGGGCAACATGTGAAATCCCATTTTTACAAAAAATACCAAAAAAAAAAAAAAATTAGCCTGGTGTGGTGGCCAGCACCTGTAGTCCTACTACTTGGGGGATTGAGGCAGGAGGATTGCTTGAGCCTGGAAGGGTGAGGCTGCAGTGAGCCATGATCACACCACTGCACTCCAGCCTGGGTGACAGAGCAAGATCCTGTCTGAAAAAAAAAAAAAAGAGAGAGAGAGAGAAAAGAGGAAGACTGAGTGATTGGTGGATACAGGTGGGAAGGAGATTTTTACTGCATGCCTAAAAGGTTTAAAATCGTACCTTTTTAAAAGTATATGAATTATCTATATGAAGATAAATAAATGACCCAAGAGTGTCATGCTGTTCCATTTATCTGAAATTCTAGAAAAGGTAAAATTAATCCGTGGTGAAAAAATCCTAACAGTGGTTTCTTGTGGCAGGGGATTAACTGGGATGGTACAGGAGAGAAATTTCTGGGTGGTAAAAATGGTCTCTATCTTGATAGGGATATGAGTTACATAAGTATATTCACTTGTCAGAAATATGCAGGTAACATTTCAGTGAACGTAAATTTTACCTTAAAAACTGTAAAAAAAAATGAGCCAGGCATGGTGACTCAAGCCTGTAATCCTAGCACTTTGGGAGGCCGAGGTGGGTGGATCACCTGAGGTCAGGAGTTCAAGACCAGCCTGGCCATCATGGTGAAACCCCATTATTTAAAAAAAAAAAAGGGACTCCATGTTTGGGTCCCCTTCCACGAACACTCTCGTGGAAGCTATCTTTCTCTTTCCTGGATTTCCCCTCTGGGGTCCCTTCCACACTCTCTTGTGGAAGCCTGTCTTCCCCTCCTAAACTCCATCTCTATTCCCTTCCACTCAGTATGGAGGCTGCTTTCTTCTCCTGGATTCCATCTTTCTGGATTCTCTCACTCAGCATGAGAGTTAGTTTATTTCTCTCTCCTCCTGTTTCTCTCTCTCTAAATAAATAAATCACTTTAAAAATAAAATAAAATAAAAAGTCGCCAGGCCCTGTGGCTCATGCCTGTAATCCTAGCACTTGGGGAGGCCAAGGCGGGTGGACTGCCTGAACTCAGGAGTTCGAGACCAGCCTGGGTAACATGGTGAAATCCCATCTCTACTAAAGTACCATAGAAAAAAAAAAATAGCTGGGCATGGTGGCATGCACCAATAATCCCAGCTCCTGGGGAGACTGAGATAGGAGAATGGCTTGAACCCCCAGGGGAGGGGGAAGGGGAGGGTGGAGGTTGCAGTAAGCCGAGATCGAGCCATTGCACTCCAG